TCTTCGAGATGCGGTTACTGCCATACCCAGGGCCAGAGTCAGTCAAAACGTGAATTACCTTGCTCCCTTCTTAGTCTATTGGTCCCCTGTTTTCTTACGGCTGCCAAACACATAGATCTCCGTCGTCACTCTGTTACGCAAAATATGGCACATTTAAGGTTTATTGCATGAGTCGGCAAGCACACTGACGTTGTAATTCTACTCAGGCTATTCGTATTATGCAAACGCGACGTCATTAAGCCCAAAGTTCTATCAGACTCTTCTTGACCGGTGCTGGCGTCGATCAGGCAAACTCCTGTATCGACCGGACCAGAGGAGGTCGTGCTGCCCCCATTACACAATTCGGCTTGATTCTGGCCAGTTCAAACCTTCAAGAGACCAACGCCAAACTGTGAATCGGTTCAACAGATTTGTATTAGGGGAGTCGTATATCAAGGACGCAGCTCGACTTTACCCAAAACCCCGGAAAGAGGTCAAAAGGAGGGACAACGAATTCTGCCTTGTTGATCGTATACATGAAGCCGAGTATGGAAAATTGCAAACACCCCCAGAACCTGCGCACAGACTCGTCATCACTCTTGAAGACGACAACTTCACCGAGGAGAAATATCAGGTTTACGACAACTATCAACGAGTTGTCCACAAGGATCTCCCCGAAGATAGGACTCCTCGGGCCTTCAAGCGATTCCTTTGTAGTTCTCCCCTACGACGGGAAGTCATAGTGACACCTGATGGGCAAAATCGCAAGTTAGGATCATATCATCAGTGCTACAGGCTTGACGGCGTCCTGGTTGCCATTGGAGTATTAGATCTGCTACCCGACTGCGTCAGCTCCGTCTACTTTCTGTACCATGAAAGCATCCACAAGCAGACCCCGGGGAAGCTAGGTGCAATGCACGAAATCGCCTTAGCGAAAGAAGCAGGCTATCGTTGGTGGTACCCTGGGTTCTACATCCATAATTGCCCCAAGATGAAGTATAAGATCGACTATTCTCCGCAATTCATCCTTGACCCCAACAGCTTTGGCTGGGACCCATTAGACCAGGCAACCTTGAATCTCCTCGACCAGAAGCCGTTTCTCAGTCTATCCATTGAAAGGCAAGAAGCTTCAACTGCTGACAGCGGGCCCGAAACTGATGAGACTCGAGACTCCAAAAGGCCAAAGGTTAGCAACCAGGACGGGCAAACCACTCCTGGAAATGGCACACGCACAGAGGGTCACGACAACAGGGAGGAGGAAAATAATGATGAAGATGAAGACATAGGGTCCCTCTTTCAATCAAGCATGCCCGGAATCACTTGCGCCTCAGATATGGAGGAAGTGGATTTGGATCACATTGCCTTGAAAGTGTTTTCCACAGGACCTCTATTCGAGACTTCTGATCTCGTAGCTTGGGACTCCAAAAGCATCACCGATTGGCCTGGGATTAAGGCCTCCGTAGCAGAGCTGATTGCGGCTATTGGGCCAGATGTCAAAGATTTGATCTGTCTGGACATGGCACGTGAGAGAGCTTAGAAGAATTATTAAGCAACCAGTACGGGAGCTTCGCTATGTAGAAGCCTTCAATGACTACTCGTGTCTGACTGAGCTTACGTTTATCTTCTGAGTCGTATGGTTAACCCTCACTGCCTAGGCATTTCGCTCCCTCTGTCTCTCATTTTATCCCCTCTCCCTCTCTGTTTCTTCCTTTGGCCTTAAACAAAGAAGGGGGAGAGAAATTGGAATGACACTTTATTTTTGAGCAATATTTGATGTGAAATAAGCATCTTGCACTTGATGCGGTCGCTCTTAGCTTACGAAATTTTTATATTGACTTCACAGAGAGCCAAGCCCTCAGAGTCTCAGACTCTCAGAGTAGCGACATCGAACCGTCCCCACCACCGTCGCTGAGCCTATCTTATCAACAAAGCTCAGGCTGCGGCCCAAAGCTAGAGCTTCAAAAAAAAACTTTCAGAGACATCTTATTTCACAGGCAGTTCAGCCAGCAATTCAACCAGCGCCAGCACATCCAACGGATTGCTTCATCTCTCCTGGCAGGTGATCGCTTTGCGGGACCATGGCCACTCAGCAAACTCTTCTTTCTCCTGCCGAACTCGCATATCTGCACAGCACACTCTCTCTTACCCCACCAATCCGCCCTGATGGTCGTTCTTCAACGCAATTCCGGCCATTGACCGCAGAGACAGGTATTTTACCTGGAACAAACGGCAGTGCTCGTGTATGCTTTTCGGATGGCACAGAAGCCATTGTTGGTGTAAAGGCGGAAATCGAAAAAACCCCTGGCATACGAGATGCCGAAGACCGCGATGGCAAATTGAGTGCCATCGCAAGCGCCGCGGCTGATGATGCAAGGTCAAGAGCTAGAGGGGATTGGTTGGAAATGACGATCGAGATACCTGGCCAGAGAGACGATGAAGCTTCGACGGTGTTTCTGGCGGAGATGTTGAGAGAGGCGTTACTAGCAGATGGGGAATTCGCGAAGAAGCTTTGGATTAACAGACGATTTCATTGGAGATTGTTTCTTGACGTGAGTATCATACTACCGTCCTATTGCAAGATGCTGTTAACGTGATATTGACCTCTTTTTTTCTTTTTGGGCCACATAGGTTCTACTGATTTCACCGCCTCTCTCATACCCACTTCCACTTCTATCTCTAACATCACATCTCGCACTTCTCGCGACTCGGTTACCACGACTCAAGTCAGAAGGCGACGAAGACCCCATGTTTGACGACGACTGGGAGTCATCAACCTACTTGTATCCGCGTGACAGAGCTTCCACTGGTTTCCGACCGCCAATTACCCTGTTAGTCATTGGAGTGGGCGACAATATCATTTTCGACCCGTCCAAGGAAGAGTTGGCAGTTGCGGAGACGGCACTGGCCGTATCAGTAGGAGAGGTTAGGGAAGAAACGAAGCCGGGAGGGATGAATGTCGACTCGAGACGAGAGCTAAGACTGTTGTCAATGAGAACAGTTGATCCGCCTTCGAGACTGACTCCTCCCGGTGTGCCTAATTCCGTTAATGTCGCTGCGAACGGAGCATCAGCTGGCTCTACTACGAAGCAACAGGTGGACGGTCACCAAGCTGTGCAGGGCGTGTGGAAAGCACCCTTGGGCGGAAGCAAATTCAGCGTGATGAACGGCATTGTAGAAGCCGTGCTTGAAAAGGGTGGTGTTGCGGATGAAATATTGGATGGGCTAGAGAGTGTAGATTTAACATGAAGGCGATCATCAGGCAAAATGGGAGGATTTGGGCTATGTGCAGCGTATTATTATTAGTGTGCACGGTTTATTTACAGTCCTATTTGCATGGCGGCCCAGGCGTTCCGAGTACTTTCAGAGTTATCGTAGGAGGACAGGCCAAAAATAGCATGGGTCCAGTCAATCACCAAATACCTAGCCATTTCTTCCTCTGCTCCGGCTTCTCGTCCGATTCGGATGTTGGGGGCAATTCTCGTCCAAGCGCAACAGCCTCCAGCTCCTCCTCTGATTTTCCTTCGTCCTTCCCAAAAACTAGAGAAACAGGGTCCTTGGTCTCAATGCCGTGTACCTTCATGTAGTACTTTCTCTTTGCGACGTCATCCAGATATCTTGTTCGATGTTCACCAGCCTTTGTAGCCTTGTCCTTTTCGTGCAGGGCGATGACGTTTTTCCATGCGGCGAAGAAGTATGAAGGATGGTGCCAGAGATCGGACATTGGAGGAACGAGGTCCTTAAAGGGGGAGTTGTAGGCGTAATTCATGAAGAAGGTGTATATAGCCATTGCAAACAAGGCCCCCTGCATGGTGAGTTAGTGATGCTTTTTTTCTCTTGTATTTAACACGCTTCTCCATGAGATTCCGAAAAGGATTCATGCAAGAAGAGAAAGTGGCATAGGTAGGCCATACCATGGTAATAAAAGTATGGAGCAACCTGCTATGCCAAAACCAATGAGACCAAGAGCCCTCGGGGGCCATGACACCAGGGTAATGCCTCTTGTTCTGGGCAGAAATCTCCGACGCGCTCAGTTCAGGACCGTAATGCTTGGGCATGGCGTTTCGCTTGAGTCGGGATCCGTGGGACGGGGGGTTAAACTTGGCTGGCTTCTCAAGCACAATTGGCTTTTGGGACGGGGGGTTGCGGTGACCGGTCGATGATGACGATGATGCGTATCTGATGCGAACATTTTGGGAGAGTGGTATGCGGACGCCGCGCCACAAGGGACCTTGCAGAGGTAGCAAGAAGCGCGGTATTATCGTTTTCGACGTCATTGTGAGGTGGGCAGTGGAAATTTGGAACTATTCCGTTGTATCAATACAGCTCAATGGTTGAAGCTTGGGATGCTAGGGATTTTTTTGGGCAGGATTTCTCTAGCACCTGAATGCACCCTGAGTGGTAGCCTTGGACCCTCAGGCACATATGCTGGTGCCAACGGCTTTTGCCGAGCTTTGGCCGATTGTGCTCCGGGCGAATGGGGCGAGGGGCTAGAGGCTAGAGGGGATAGGGAGGCGAGGGCAACACTGGCGCTCTCTCACCACCTGTGGGCGTCGGACATACAGGACCAGTTTACGCCAGTTGGTGGACAGCAGTGGACATGAGTGGGGGCACCTGGGCACATGAGCAGCCGAATACTGCTCAAGCGTTGTCTGAGAGCAGGAACTATGTACATTGTTGGCTCCTGTCCGAGTTTACCCGGCGCAGCTGATGTGGCGGGTCCGCTGACTGCGTAATTGCACGGCTCTGATTGGGCTGCGCCGCAGGCCACTGTGGCTCAATCGTGCGGACATCTTGCCAGGAGTCCGGTTTTTGAGTGCCTAGCTGATCGGTCCATGCTGTCATAAGTAAACTTTTTTTTTCATTCGATGTTCCTGGCCTCTCTCTCTTCTCCCTCTCCATCCTCTACGCCATAACTCTATCGACAATCCCAAGTCGTCACTGACAACTCTCGGGATTCTTCTTCGCGACCGTTCCTACGAATACACTTTTTTCGGTACCTTTTTCAAGACCCCTAATTCAAAATGGCTGGCGGTAAGTCTTTCAATCGTGGTGTATCCTCACAGCCGAAGAAGCCTCGGGCAATCGGACGAGCCGGTTTGCTTTGCCATTGCGTCAGCGCATGACGATGAATGAAGACGAAATTTGCCGGAATCGACTGGTCGAACCGCAATTGAGCGATTTCCAGTGTCCACGTTGTGTTTTTCGGCTCAATGGTGGCATGCGCAATTCCCTTCAGGCGTCGGTTGCTCGTGTTCTCTGCGTCATTTTCATTGTGCCGGGAAAAGGTCAATTCTGTGGACGCGGGAAAAAATTCTCTCATACAGCGATTCCGATTATGGCAACGCAAGCTTCGTCTTTTTCTTCATTGTGTCGGTCTGCTGGCTCTGCATTCGGCCACGCCGCTGTCTACCGATTGATCTCGGGGCCTGTCATCACTTTTTTCTTGGCGTCTCGGAGGACAGAACTCACGTGTCAACGGGGCATATGCTAATAGACCTTACTTCAGGTGACGCTAAGAAGGGTGCCAACCTCTTCAAAACCCGTTGTGCTCAGTGCCACACCGTCGAGAAGGACGGCGGCAACAAGATTGGTCCCGCTCTGCACGGTCTTTTCGGCCGCAAGACTGGCTCCGTCGACGGCTACTCCTACACCGATGCCAACAAGCAAAAGGGCATCACCTGGGACGACGATACCCTCTTCGCTTACCTTGAGAACCCCAAGAAGTACATCCCCGGCACCAAGATGGCTTTCGGCGGTCTCAAGAAGGAGAAGGACAGGAAGGACCTGATTGCGTAAGTACACGCTGGCTTGTATCCAGAGTTTTCTCGCCACATGCTGACAAGTCAACTAGCTTCCTGAAGGATTCTACTGCTTAAGTGCCTTGCACGTGTATTAATACGACATGATAGACGGGGATAGGATGAGTGTATTATAGACAAAATTTAGAATAGCCGGGGCACTACCAGGATGTGCTTGTTATTCAACTCCGCTTTGACGAGAGTTTATTTCTGCTGGCATTGGCTCCGACTCTGTGACAATACGATCGAGTGGTGCAGTTTACAAAGACTGGTATCCCATCCTTGGGCATGCACGCCGTCTAGCTTTTTATTTCTTGCACATATCTACGAGCTACCGAGAGCAGAAACCGTCTGTATGTATGCATGCCAGGGTCACTGGCCACTTTCATGTGTTGTGCAACCTGATCTTACATGTTCACTTTTGGCTTGAATACTACCATAATGCATAAGGACTTTTTGCATACGCAGCCATTGTTGGCAGCATGCAGTCGGTATATCGGCCCTCTACCATAGTCAGCTACTCACGCTCTCAGATAATCATGTCCCTCTCTCTATACGATGCCGGATCCCGCACACTTGCCCTCGTATTCGCCAACGCAAACTCCCAATCCGCCTCAATCATCTCCTTACTCGACGTTTCGTCCTGCATCCACCTCTCTAAAGCACTCTCCGCAGCTTTTGCATGCAAACCGCTGAGGTCTGCGCCGCTGAAATTTGCACAGCGTGGATCCTGGGCCACGGACGAGAGGCCTCCCATTGCAACAGGCGACGGGTTCTCATGACGAGTCCGATAGATGGCTCGGAGGATATCCACGCGCTCTGAGGGGGTGGGGAGGTCAATAAAAAGCTGGACGCCCAGACGCCCCGGACGCAGAATAGCTTCGTCAATCATTTCGGGACGGTTCGTGGTGCCGATTACGTAGACGCCCGTTCGGTCTTGTGCGCCGTCGAGCTCGGTAAGGAGAGCGTTTACCACGCGAGCGCCAGAGTCGGTGGAGGAGTTGGCCCGGGGGGGCACGATAGAGTCGATCTCGTCGAAGAAGAGGATGCAAGGGGTTGAGGAGCGCGCTCGCTGGAAGAGTTCCCGGACTGCGCGCTCGGATTCTCCAACGTACTTGTTGAGGAGTTCGGGCCCGTTGATGAGGATGAAGCTTGCCTTGGCTTCGTTGGCGATGGCTTGGGCGACGAGGGTTTTGCCGCAGCCGGGAGGGCCCCAGAGGAGAATGCCGGCGGTTTGCTTGAGGCCGAATTCTTTGTACACCTGGGGCCGTTTGATGGGGCCGATGATGGACATGTGTAGCTGTTTGCGGGCCTTGTCGAGAGCTCCCACTTGGTCCCAGGTGACGTTGGGGATGACGGTGAAGCCTTCTTTGCGCAGGGAGGGGGTGAAGTCCTTGATGACGGATTTGAAGTCTTCCATGGATACGGGTGCTCGTGGCCGTATACGCGGGCGCATGGTAGAAAAAAAGTCTCGGTTTCCAGAGAGGATGGCAGACTTGATCTCGGACATGCAGACGTCGGTGGCCTCGGCATCCTCGCTGATGCATTTTGCGGCTAGTTCAGTGGCCAACTTGGTAATGAGGACGAGTTCGGCTGCTACGAAACCGTGTGTTATTCTGGCAATTTCACCCAAGTCGACGTCTTCCGCAAGCGTCTTCTTTTTGGTTACCGTCTGCAAGATGTCCTGTCTTGCTTCGTAGTCTGGAATCTTCAGTTGTTTGGTAACTTCGAACAAACCGGTTTTTAATATTGCCTGGTCAACATCTGCGATTTTTGACGTGGTGGCCATGGCGAGGACGTACCCGTCTTCTCCTCGCCGGTGTTTTAATCGTTGCATCTGCTGCGTGAAGAGGCGAATGGCCTTGAGGTGGTGTTCGTTGTGGTTGGATGAGCCAGTCTTGGACATATACTGGTCGATCTCGCCGATGAAGACGATACTAGGGGCCTGTGCTATTGCGGCGTCAAAAGCTTCAGTCATGCTCTTTTCCATTCTTTCGGGGTCTTCGAGGCATCCATTGAGGGAGACTAGGGGTACGCCGAGCATTGATGCCACATTCTTCACCAATGACCTCTTTCCCATGCCACAAGGACCAGATAGGAGGATGCCGGTTGTCCGGTCCCATCCATTTTCTTCGTAGTAGTTTGCAAACCGCAAGAGCCTGCAGCCATGCTCAAGGAGATCGCCATACACCTCTCCAAGACCGCCCAGCGGTACCTCCTCATCGACATGCTCGACCGTGAACCGGCTTGCCTTTTGAGTTTTCCTCATCTGCTGCTTGTCCTGTTTCTGAACAGATGAGGGACCTTCAGATACATTGCCATTAACAACTGTTTCAACAGCACTGGTTTGACCGGGTATGTCCTCGGTGTCCGCTTGGATTCGGCGTTTTTTTGCCGGAGAAGGTTCTGTCGATTCGGCCTTGTTGGCGGGCGGGTCTTGATGCCAAAGTTTCGTCATTTGTCGATTCAACAGAAATCTCTCATCTTCTGGCTTCTCTGGTTCAGCCTCTTCTATAGCAGCCTCGGAGTCGCTGGAATCATCAGCCTCTTGCTTTCTGAACAAGAGCACACGATCTATTGCGTCCTCTATAATCCTCTTCTTCTGTCTCTTAAGGCTTGAATTTGACCGTTGGATTGCATCGTATGCTGTGGTGATTGTTTTGAACGGCCTGCAACCATTTGCCGTTTCCAGTTGCTTTAACACAGTGTACACATCTCGTTCTATCCGTGAACGAAGATTGACTCGCGATTTCACCATGCCAGGAGGCATATTTGGTGAGCGTAACGTAATCAGAAATATTGATGAATTCAGGTGTACAGCATCGGAGGGCTGTAGATGATGCACCGATATTAATGTTCGCGGGCCAGTGGAGGCACGCGCGCCGTTTGAAAGTTTGTGGCATATATCCCCGTTCCAACAAATGAGATGCCGCTAAATACAAGTGACAGACAAATGAGAGTCGTCACCAGACGTAAAAAAATCAGTGAGTCGTTCAAGTGAAGGATTCAACGTTGACCCATTCCAGGTGCTGTAGGTGTTGGACAAGGAAGAACGCCTTTGGTAATTAGGTTCGGTTCGATAGTCGGTTTCAGATAACTTTCCCATCGGTAGCACTCCCTGTCCGGCTATTTGGCTAGCATTGCATGCGACATATGGCTGTTGTCCCGCAATGATGCTCTCTCGGAATCTCAAATCCACGTGATGGGCAGCGCCGCAGACTCCTTCCTCTTCTTTTTTTCTTTTTTTTTTTTTAGCATGTCCAAGTCCGAGGCGGCTTATCGATAGCGCCCGAGCCCCATTAGCGCGCCACCCGGACATCTCAAGCTGGACCTCCAGACCTATGACGATCCAGCAGCGGGCCGCATGGGCATGCGACACCATACAGACATAGTATCAGCTACCCCATCGACTCCCGAGTTACGCTTCAACTACACTTCTTCCGTCTGGGGCGGCATCACCAAGTGTTCGATAGACCTTCCACTCAACGGCTGGATCCGGAGAAGTGTGCACATCATGGGGGGCAGCACCAGCAGAGTCACGGCCCAGGACAAGTACGTTTCCGCCCGCTCCCCCTTCGTTGCGCACCGCATCACACTGGCGCCACCCCGCTCATTGACCATCTCGTGCTCGATACAGGGCCATCCTGGACATGAAGAACCAGCGCGACAAACTACACCAGTACCAGCGGCGAATCACCGTCCTCACCGACAAAGAGACGGACATCGCAAAGCAAATGCTCGCCAAGGGCGACAAGAAGAGAGCCCTGCTGGCGCTGAGGCGCAAGAAGTACCAGGAGTCGCTGCTGGCCAAGACGGACGCCCAACTCGAACAATTGGAGAAGTTGACGTCGAATGTCGAATTCGCGCTAATACAAAAGGACGTCGTGTTTGGGCTGCAGCAGGGTACCAAGGTCCTGAAAGAGATTCATGCCGAGATGGGGGGCCTGGAGAATGTGGAGAAACTCATGGGCGAAACGGCGGATGCAATTGCTTATCAACAGGTATGTTTTCCCTCTTGTCGAGAGATTTGCCTTGTCATTTTTACTCTAGGTTGGATTGTGGTGGCTCACGGCTGCTGTGACAAACAGGAAGTCAGCGACATGCTGGGCGGCCAGATATCGAATCAAGACGAGGAGGAGGTCGAGGACGAGCTGGCTGCGCTGCAAGCAGAGCTCGCCGGCGAGGGACAACAGCTTCCATCCGTTCCAAATGCTCAGGTTCCCACATCTGAGAGGCCGGAGGGGGAAGAACCTGCGCGAGAGGCACGGCAAATGTTGGCCGCCTAGCTAGCCTAGCTTCAAATACTGGGCCGTCATGTTCGTCGTTGCAATTTTATAGACGGGGCCTTGGTGCATTTACAGCGAGCAATCATACACGGAGTCGGGGAGTATTTTTTTTTTCCGCAATAGCATTGATTATACAAAGCATTTTTGAATATATTCATTATTACACCACGATGAGGGGTGCCTTTCTTTTTTCATTTCTAGCTGCCGTATTTCGCAATTAGCTTTCTCATAAGGGACATGGCTCCTCCGCGATAGCCACCACCAAATATAGCAAAGTGATTCAAGTGGTGATATCTGCAATTGTCAGTCTACAACCAATCGAATTCCCAATCGAATTCCCCAACGCAAGAACGCGAAAGGGGGGGGGCAGAGAACCCAGGCAGCGTATGTCAACTTACAACTCATAAAGCGCCACTCTGTCTTCCCACTCGTGTTTTGGTTCTGCCTTTGGGACCAGCCTTTCATATTCCTTCCAAAAACTGGCCCCAAACCCTCCAAACATGTTCATTATACCCAACTCATACTCGGAATGGCCGTATACAGCAGAGGGGTCAAAGACGACTTCTTCTGCGCCGCCCTTGCCGCCAATTCGCCCCTTGGAGTGATTTCCACACCACAAATCGCCATGTATAACCACGGGTGTTATGTCCTTCATGGTAGACTCGCCTACTAGCCGAGGGACGACTTTGCTAGCCACCGTTTCGACGGCTTTACTCAACTCGGCATCGCTGCCGTTGTTCCTCACGCAGTGTTTGAGAATACTCCGAAGTCGGTTGTCGGCGTAGAACAGGG